CTAAACATAACAGACAGTAGGCTATACCATCAGGCAACAGTAAACAAGAGGATAAATTCGCAGAAAAAGGTGCTTTATTTAAAATTAAAGTATCTCAAAAAAACTCATTTTCTCCCGTACAGTATCCAGCCTTCATGTGCTGTAAACCTCTCTTTTACATTACAGTGGCTTTTATGTACAAAATAACATGAACGCATGATTAAATACTCTGCATGGAGAACCCAAGAGCAAGGAACAGCAAAAAACAACACACCTTTCTTCAGTATAATTAGTGAGGTCGTGGTGCAGTTTCAGTGTGTTCCTTTGTCCATTTTATTACACAAAAAGAAAACATACAAAAAGTTAAAATAAGCCAGAATACAAACAAACATAGGTTTCTTCAGCTCGCACAAACCAACAGTATTCCCGGTGACCTTATTTACCTCCAGTGAAATTCAGTTTTTGTTTTTGGGTTGCATTGCAAAAAAAAGATAAGTGTCATTTGGCGAGGAAAAGATGACATCATCTTTCTCTTTGTCAGTACTACAGGGGTTCAGGGAATACAAACCAAAAAGGAAATGAAGGTATTATGCAATAATAATAATTAAAAAAAAACACAACATTAGGAGGAAACAGGAGAGGAACAGACCTAACTCTCCGGAGAAAATTGCACAGAGAAGCTTTCCTCTAACATTAATTTGTTTCTATTGAACAATTACAATACCGATAATATTACCACACTACCGGCAAGGCTACTTGGCTAACGTTAATGGCGGTTCGGTCAGCTACAACGTGGCTGACGTTGGCTAGCTCTGACATCCCTGTGCCTAACGCTAACGTGAGAAACGCGAGACACACGACACTGACCTCAGAGCTGTAACAAATTTACATGTACACACATGTGTATAAGCACAACCATGTGCATCTAACGGCACAGAACAGAATCACACTTAAGTGGCGATGAGAATTCACTCTCGTCAGTGGAGGTTTTATTGCAGTAAATTACGGTGGGAGCTCAGAACAAGTGTCGCTGCCATTTTCTGGTCTTGAGACAAAGAAAAGCGCCGAGGCTTCGCCCATGATACGAAATTCATAGATTCCTTGCTGAAAAGGTTAAAGATGTGGGTCTAATTACCATGGATACCAGTATCCACGGCAATGCTGTGATGTAATGGCAACATACCAAGTACAAAGGAGTAAATGAAAAAAAGGCACCAACAATTAAATCAATCTTTCTAAACCTGAAGGGCACCATCTGAGTCATCAGAAATGCGAGACAGATGGACAGGGGGTGTCTATGCACAGCCTGAGACAGAGATGTACTGGACCGACCCCCAGCATCTGCTTAAGGCCCTGCAGGTGAGTCTGTCAAAGGGGAGTGGCCCTTAAGGTGAAAGGTCAGGATGTTTCTATGGAAACAGGGAGGTTTGATGGCTGCCTTAAGAAGCAGTGCAGGTGTATGTGGGGTTTATGTGGAACCCCAGGCATATAAACTAGGAACGTGTCAGTCTGTTGCCAGGCGTGGTGATGTGGCAGCTGTACAGTACACACCACCACCCAGCACCCAAGCGGAGGGGGGTTAATTAAAAACCACGACATTCTAAGCCACCGGGGTTGGCATGGCACACATGCGGCCTGAGTCCCCTTGTGTGCGTTGGACTGCGAGCGCCGAAGGGGACTGCAAAATATGCTGGCTGAGCGAACGAAAAGTACAGACCTCCTGCCAGGCGGATAAGAAGGGGAAGATCAGTAAGGAGGAAAAATATACACAACTAAAAAGGCGGATGGATTCTTCCGTCCACAACAAAGAGACCCCCCCCCCCCTCAAACCAGCCACATACTGAAGTATGGCTCCTCTGCTTCTGCAGTCTCTAAAGGTCGTCTGCACGTAAGGCTTAAACCCACACTAACCCACAGATGCCAAATTCCTTCTTCTTATACCAGAGTCAAAAGGTGAATAATGTGTTTAGGAATGACTTCCCCCTCGTGCTCCCGGCTCCAGCACGGCCTCTCGATGGTGACGCGATCCAAGCACGGATCGAGGAATCCCTGGCACAAATCCTGACCAGTTTGAGGGCAGAGCAGCGCACCCGACCCAGTGTCTCACGGAATCCCCTTGTGTCCCATCTCACAAAACGAAAGAATGATTTCATATTTTAAAACTCAAAATTATGAGCCAGCTGAGGTGCAGCACAATGAGATTAAAATTTGGGCCATCACTCATTACCATGCTGATCGATCACCAGACCTGTGCCTACAGACGCCTCGGCTAATGAAGCACAGCTGCCCTAATTGCTTCTGGGCTTAAATAGGGTCAGTCGGTTGGTTATGGGGTTGGGGATTATGCTCCTGCTCCTGCTGAGGTGCTCATGGGGGCGGTTTGTAATTAGTGCTTGGGGGCTCGCTGGATTCTTCCTGTACCTCATCCCCATTTCTGGCTGTTTCTCTTGCAATGATGCATTTTTCTAGAACTTTGCTGTCCTGTGGTCTCATGCCTGACATCTGCCAGAGCTCAGCGTGGCAGAATATTTTATTTGGAACGTGAACGCTCTTGCCTAATGGCATTTTAGCCTTTTTGCTGACATCATCTACACCGCAATGGCAATAGGCTAGGTTTGTTAACTATGTTAAGCATTCAGGCCACTCAGCTCAATATTTGCTGTAAACGTTCCTGGCAGAAGTTACCCACAAGTCTATGTTTTTGGAAAGTTGCGCAAAAAAAAAAAAAAGTTCCACTCCTCCGCCAAACAGTTCATCAGAGATTAGGCCCAGTGCGTGGCTGATATTGTCGATATAACAGCTGTTCAGTGACTTAAGTGAACAGAAACGGGGGTGGGGGGTGGGGTTGGGTTGGGTTGGGGGGCAAGGCCAAGCACAAAAGCCACAGACATGTGACATTCTGCAACACCTGTAAAACTGGATATGGTCAGAATAGAAAAGGCACTCGGGAGAGGAAAACAAAACGCTCTTAATTTTTCCACCATTCGCTTGCATGCAATCCGGAATCTCTGTGCCCAAGAAGTAATGAGATCATTAAAAATAGCATTAAGTGTTATTGTTTAAACACCCAGGGTGCTACACAGTTAAGGTACAGGTCACCATTCCCACAGCTATCTGCCTGTTTAATTTACCTGAATATGCTATTAAAGGTTTTGGGCAATCAAAACTGCGCCCCCCCCCCAAAAAAAAAAAAAATAATAAATAAAAAAAGTCTGCCTTTCTCTAGGACAAAACATGTATTCATATGCCTACTCTCTTTTACAGTAAATGCAATTAAATTTTAACATCACAAAAGTGCCCCTGCATGCATTTTCCTAATGAGATAATGAACACCACGTGTAAAAGTGACTTAAATATCACCACAAGCCGACTTATAATGGAAAGTGTCCGCACACAAACTGTACTCATTAGTCGTGCACGCTGTACAAACTTGTTAGAGCTGTAGTTCCGTACGTCTGCTCGCATGACAAATGCACACGAGAATTAATCCAAGGCTTAGATAATTACAAACACACAAAACTGGCCAATTTTCTACATTCTTCCAATTCCATCAGTTACTGGCGTTTATGCTTCAACTTTTTTTGCTTAAACTTTGTTAGAAATATTTCAAACTCATTTTGGATTTCTTAAAATTATATTTAAATGTTTGTCTTTTTCCACATTTCCATAATCTCAATAGATATACTATACGATGAATTCTGCATTTGGTAAGATGCATGTAATGTACACATGATGTACCTTTTCAAATAGCCTAAACTGTAGCCATTATTTCTAAACAAACTTGCCAGCATGAATGGACACAGTGACACCAAACCAGAGGAGCTGTGGTTATAAATCGGGACCGAAATGTGCTCAGACCAAATATTTAGTTCAGGGGTCTGAATACTTATGCAATGATCAACTCTGACTTCTTCCATTAAAGTTAGTCACTGTCAGCAAAGCATTTGGTAAATTTGGTAAAAAAATAAAAAAATAGTACAAAAAATTTTAAAATGTTTGTATGAGATTCTGAGATTTGAGAAAATGTGACACCAAATGCTTTGTCCAAGGCTCCCCTCATGACTGTATGGATTAAGCATGTGGGTTTATATTTTCTGACATTTTCATAAGATCTGAACTAGAACTGGGGGGGATGAAATCCTAACTCACTCAGGCAATGAGTTTAGCAGTAAACCTGTCCCAAGGATGATAAGCCATGGGAGGTGACACCCCCTCAGTCATCTGCCCCAGCCCTCCACCCCCCCACCCTAATGGTGCGTTCGATTATTTCTCTCCAAGTCGGAACTCGGATGAAAACGTCACAAAAAACGTCACTTCCCGTCGGAAACACGTCCCTTTTATGACGTTGAAGTCGGACAAGATTTTGTTGTCCGAGTTGCCCCTGTGACGTAATTTCAACATGGCGACTTGGTTTGTTTGTAGTTTGTTTACCGTTCGAAAAAAGAATATCGCTATGAATGTACCAAAATATTTTATAAAGCTTTTAATGTGGTTTGACTAGTTCGTGTTTCTTGTTTGTCTCTCGGAAAAATCTCCATTTTCTCCATTTGGAAAACTCCAAATCTGCTAAAATATAAAGCAACAACACACAGCAACGTGTTCATGGAGGCAGCCATGTTTGTTCCGAGATGTGGTAGCTCGAACGGGAGATTGTCGGACGTGATGTCACTCAACTCGGAATTTCCGAGTTCCGAGAGAAAAACGAACGCACCATTAGACCATGGTCACATGACAAGGCGGGGGGGGTTTTGCATAAATTGGGGGGTGAGACATAGAACCATACAGCTGATCTATTACACAGAGCTGCCGCACCCCCTCCCCCCCCCAAAAAAAAACCTAGCCTCCATCGGTGCGTTTTAATGTGATGCTTTCGCAAGAGGCATTTCCATGGTAACCACATTCCTGTCAACACAAGCAATTACATTTCGTATTATCTTGTGTTTTGACTAATTAGGCTTGGCAGTTAATCTAACGCTTAAAAATGTCTTGTCCAGTAAGACAAAGAAGGAAAATATTCTTAATGCATCACCAAATAAGTGTATTTATTTATTCTTTTAAAGAAAACCGACAGGACAGCACGCCTGACCAGGTGCCAAGGTGATGCTTGAGGTTCGGGGCACAGGGTCCCGCCGGTCCGTCCCACAGACTTTTGGCTAAAAACATGACGCCACATGGAAATAGTGCTCCAGAGTATCCCAGTGCATTTCCAGGCACACGCCTCCTCTATTAAAATTTTCTGAACCCCGTGATAAATTTATATATATAAAAAAAAGTAATGTTCCATGAGCAAGACAGAGGAAGCCTTTTTTTCCTTTGTAAATCTCCCATCTAAAGCTTCTCACACCGTCTTCAGTCTGATCTCCTCGTTAGTCCATCGTGGTGCCGGCACCTCCACCCCCCTGCTCAAACATACCACTCCCTACGGGAAATCACAGACCCATCCACGTGGGACACGTAGTCACCGTCCGGACTGTTGTCATAGCAGTCCTCCGGCAGGTAGGGGGCACTGTGCTTCATGGCAGAGATACGCGCACATGGCGGTGCTGGCCCCCTCAGGGGGGTGCCGTGGTGGTTGTGGTTGTGATTATGCCGTTCGGGGCAGCGGGCCGCCTCCCGCAGGGCACGGCTGCGTCCGTTGATGACCCCATCTCCCCACTCCTCCCTGTCCTTGTCGGATTGGAGGGTAGATGCCTTGGGGGCGTCGCGGCCCCCCTTCCCTGCATCCCCGCTGCCGTACACTTCCTGCAGCTCGTGCGGCTGCAGCATGTCGACGTGCGGCTCCTTCTGCATGTCCGCCGGTCCCAGGTACTGCTTGGTGTAGTAGTCGCCCCGGAATGTGCGCTGCTGCCTTCGGTAGCAGGTCCCCCCCAATACCAGCAGCAGCACCAGGAAGAGGGCCCCGCCCACTGCCCCGCCCACGATGGCACCCAGACTGCCTTCAGGCAAGGAGGCCAACGTCGGAGAGGTGAACGGGGCGCGTCCCTTACTGAGGGGGGCGGTGGCCAGACCCCTGTCATTCAGGGCAGGAAGGGGGGTGGCGGGGAGGATGGTGGTAGGAGGAGGCTCTAATGGAGGAGAGGGAAAAGGGGGGGGAGGGGTGGAAAGAAGAGATGGACAGACAGAGAAAAGCAGAGTGTCAATGACATCTACAGTGTTATAAGGGGCGGATGTGAATGCACACAGACCACACAGACCACCCAACTGCACTCTGACGACCACCGATCCAGGATTTAAGTGCTAAGAGATTTAGGGACGTCTCTGCACATCCAAATAGATGTTTAAACTCTACACAGTAATATGACTGTCTGTCATCCGCTCAGACATCAGACACAGAAAAATCCAAGTTGGTTTTTGGGCTAATAGCACTTGAGACTAAGAACCTGAGATCGTCATGCCATTTTTACACACTGGTGGGGGAGGGTGGGGATTTAGCATCGCTCAGTCTAAGGGAGTCAAAGAAAGGCACTGTGAAGCATTCAAGCTAGCCCGAGACACAATGTTCCCACAAAAAAAAATAAAAAATCCTGCAACAACAATGTCTCGTCCACAGTCAAACCAAGAACTTTGTGTGTTGGGCTGCAGGACCACGAGGATGACTCAGGTGGAACACGGGAAGGAAGACAGGAAGCCATAATGGTCATGGTGGAGAAAAGCTACTGCAGTGAGATGAGGGGGAGGAGCTACTTTAACAGAGGGGGAGTGGTTTATTACTGAGGACGGGGCAGGGCAGCTCCTACCACCACAACACTGATCAGGGTGGCCGGTGATCAGTCCAAAAGAACGAGACTCACCACAAGTCTGAAGTCAACGTCCAAATTATCACGTTAACGTGAATAACCTCTGATGTCTAGTGTGCACGCAGAATCAATGTATAGCCTCCAATTAAGAACTGATAACGTGGACCGTACATGTTTACATCTGGGGGGGGGGTGGTTTAATCTCGAGTGACAGGTTGCCTCATTCTCTTAACCCCACTAGCCGCAGGATGACCACACACCAAACAGCCTGCATACATAGTATTGAGTACGCATGTCTGTGTAAAGGTGGCAGCTGTGATTATCAGCAGACTAATGCATGTGGGTGGGGGTCAGGGTACACCCAACACCTCAGGTAACTCGCATACGGACTGCTAGCCTCTGGAACCAGTCCAGAGGTTTAGGGACACAGTTCAAGCAAGAACCATAGAATGTCTGGAGCAGAAACAAAGGAGTACCAATCACCATAGAGATACCACCGTTCACCTTATTCCACCTGGTGGCAAATGGCAGACCTGAGCACCAGGAATACACACAGGAAGTGGCACAAAGGCAGGAAGCACAACTCAGGTGGAAGGGGGGAGTTGGTCAATCAGTTTCGCAAAAGGTTCACCGTTATCCCATCAAGACAAAATGACCAACTTTCCAAAAGAGAACGTAGGACTGGTGGAAGTCTGATGAACTACTCAAAGATGCTCAATGTGTTTGAGTGATGCTGTGCCCCGTTTATATCCACAGTCCCATCAGTAGCTTTGAAATGCCTATGTACTCATATTTTCCTCTCTTTCTACAACAGCTCCCCCTACCTGCTGGAGGACTGATAAATCTAATGTATAAATATAGAAGATAAAAAAAGTTAATTATACGTCTCCAAGGAGATTTTCACTTTAACAATGCTTAAAATCCAGTATAAAATCCATAATGATTACTCTGCAAGCAGCAAGACCAACCCTAATTTTCACAGCGGTCTATGAAGAAAGTCATTTTTGATTTAAGAAAAGTGCCTCAAAAACAGAGAGGGAGGGGGAGGAGCCTCCTGACCTTGGACTCGGATCCGCGTGTCCCTGCTGCGCCTGCCGACGCCGTTTCCTGCCTCACACCTGTACACTCCCGAGTCATTGCTGCGCAGCGGGTGGCTGAAGACCAGGGTATTGTTGACCACATAGACATCCCCAGGAAGCTCCTCGTCCAGCCTGGGGAGGGGAGATGCGTGGAGGAGGCCAAGGACACAAACGTGTGAAGCTCAGGGAGCGGTGAGGTGGGGGGGAGGTGAAACAGGGAAAGCATGCCGGCACTGTGGAGAATCGGACAGCTCTTTCACACTCTCGCTCTTCTTGACAAGGTCAAGCTCATCTGGCCTGAATGACTTAAGTGCAGAACCAGAAGAGATTCCAGTGAATGATCTCAGACATGATCTCAACGGCTCTCAACTCCAATATTAACAAACAGGAGGATACAATATATGATAATGGTTCCCATGTAGAGAACATCTATGGACTGAGAACAATGAATCACAGACAGCAATATGAACAGGATGTGACCTGAAGAATGTCTGTAACAGGGTCACCTTCCATATAAAGATTATAGCACAAAGCCAACTGATACGAGTAAGCAGATATGAAAACCCTCAATGAAATGTATGGTCTAGGTCAGGGGTGGGCAGACTAATCCGCAACAGAACCAGTGTGCATGCAGGTTGTTGGGAATGACTTTTAGGTCAGCTGTTGAAACCCAGGTGTGAGGACTCTTCAGTCAATCAATCCCCTAATTAGTAATCAAATTAGTGAGTTGCAGCGAAAACCCACATACCAAACGGTCCTTTCTGGATAAGACTGCCCTCCCCTGGTCTAGGTAATTTGTCGCTTGAATAGTTCAAGGTAAAGATGATGTGCCTGATTTGATCTTTAATAACAGTCCTTGCAGGGCCATACTTGTTAATATTAAATTGACCTGGTTCAAAGACAAAAAAAACACTAGATCCAGAACAATGTCTGCAATCAGTATCTGGCACATGTTAGGCATGATCTCAGACACAGCTGTGTAGTATGTATACGGCTGAAATGTATACCATGTGTATGACATACTCTGCTACAACCCTACAGAAGGTTCCAGTACAACACTGAAGGGAGCAAGTTGACCCACCTGGTCCACTTGTAGGAGTGGACTGTAGGGTTGGCGTTGGCCCGGCATTGGAGCTGGGCGTTCTCCTGCCCGATGAACCAGTCTCCATCATATCCCACTACCGTCACATCTGGGGCGACTATGAAGGAGCGGATGCAGGGTCAGACATGCAGTTCGACCCGCCGTGGGAAATGCACAGCATCACTACAATTTTAATGAACATCCAAGAAGCTTCTGGCTGTGTGAATGCATACTTTTCACCAGCAAGGCCAGGGGATATTTTGAGGTTTTGTAAGGATAAACAAGGAAGATGGGGTAGAAGGGATGGGAAGATGGGGTAGAAGGGATGGGAAGATGGGGTAGAAGGGATGGGAAGATGGGACACTGAAGTGATGAAGATGAAATTCTAGAAGAGAAAACCGGTAAATTCTCCTCAAACTCTGCCAGACAGCAAGTTCTATTTGACCCATATCTCCTCTGGGTTCTTGGAACAGCAGCTGCTATCAGCCAAGCCCGAAGTCCACACTCTTTACTTTCCCACCCTCCCGGGACCTCTATCCTTCCATTTGTCTGCATTCATCCCTCCATCTCTCTCATTCGTGTCTAGCAGTCGCTAAACCTGATCAATCTTTAATAGAAACGTGGGCGTCTGATGTGGGATATGAGCTGCGACGTCGACGAGCGGAGGAAACATGCATTAATAATTACAGCACTAAAAAGACCTGTAGAGGGAGAGCCGAAGTGGGGGGAGGAACCTATTTAAGGGGGCCCTTTGCCAGGACACCAACCTCCACTAACCCTTCAAACTGCAGCCACTGTTTTGGAGAGATATCAAACTGGCTGGCTGCCTGTTCTCTAGCTTTCACTAACACTCCCCTTCATGCGTCTGGTTCACTGGCAATCTAGATGATTGTCGCCAGTCCCGTCCAATGAGTCTCCCCTCATTCCCACTCACCCAATTGGATAGGAGAGAGAGGCCCCGCCCACTTACACTGCACGTTGATTTGGTACGGGATCCGGAACTCCGTCTGCAGCGCCGGGTGGCGCACCACGCACGTGAGGCTTTGCCCCTGGGCGTGCCGGGTCGGGTGCCAGGCGTAGCGAACCTGCGTGGTGGTGGTGCCGTTAGCCTCCGCCTGCAGGTGCACCTGCGAGCGGCCAAAAAGGTTGGACTCCCAGGAGACTTCGGCCTGGGGGAGGGCCCGCTCCGCCGTGCAGGTGGCCACCACCGTCTCGTTCCCACCGTCCAGCAAGGGGACGGAACCCGCTGACACATACACCTTCGGCTCGACTGGGAGGAGCAAGGCGGAGGGGTGGAGACAGAAAAGAGGACGAAGAAAAAAAGTGAAGAGGGAAGCAGAATAATTAAAGATGAAATAAATTCATCACTTATCTCTTATCATGTAATTTATGCATGCACTGTGGAACCTGAAGACTGCTGTCTCAGGTCCCAGGAGGGAACCCTTGAGGGTCTGAAACATCTTGTGGGAAAGACATGTCAGCTAAGCAACTTTAAAAAAGAAAAATCGATCCTAAGGGGGTACACCATCACCTCTCCATCAGGTACCCTCTGGACCGCAAACACCAAGAGCTACGTTCACCGGCTCCTATCCACTAAACCTTACCGGTGGGGGGGTGGGGCGAGGGGAGGGCACACAATGTTGGAATGATCACAGAGTAATCTGCGTCTTCTTAGAACTTTGGGTTTGGGAACCCCCAATGTCACCATGACAATGGGAAGGAGGTTCCACTCAAATCATAGCACATCACAACGTGTCTCTACTTCCTGGATACAACACAGGCATGGGTACTACCCCCCCCAAGTGGGCACCTCCCAGTCAAATGCACAGAGTACAAGGAAATGCATGCATGCTTCTCTCAGACCAGTAACAACAAACACAGACCAGAGCTTATATGCATCCATTCTCAACTCAGAGGATAACATGCCTTTGGGTTGTGGTACGCAAACTCGGCTCGAAAAGACCGAGGTGCATTAGCTGGAAAGGCGGCTCTGGATAACTTTGCGTGTGTGTGTGTGCGTGTGTGTGTGTCAAACAAGCTTGGGAATCATTAATCACCCCACTAATGAGCACAACTCTCCCCAAGCTGAGGAAAATGAAAAACATCTATTAGGAGGGCATGTATGCAGGAAAAATGTGTGTTTTCCTGGTTAAAATAAAGTGACTGGAGTATTTGGGGCCGGAGTTTTTTTTTTTTTAACAGATGAAAAAGAAAAAATGAAAACTACAATTCCCAGAATTCCAAGGCACAAGGTCACCGACAGAATAAGACACCCTTGCATAAAGGTGCAGGGCACACACAGCTTACCCATGATGCCGATGTGTGTCGAGGCCTGGGTGTTACCCAGGGGGAATGTGGCCACCTTGCAGGTGTAGGTGCCAACGTCAGCGAAGCCCACGTCCGCCAGCATGATGGTGGCATCGTGAGACGACGGGGAGTGGAAGGCCAGGCGCTTGGCGTAACTGGGGGCGACGGAGGTGCCAAATTGCGGATTGAAGACTGCCAGCGTGATGGAGCCCGAGGGCAGCCGGCGCTCCCACGAGCTCTGGGTGAGGCTGAGGTTGGAGCTGACCTCCACCCGGCAGCCCAGGGTCACGTTCTTCCCCAGCACGGCACTGACTCTCTCTGGGACACGCACCCGGTTGGCCCACGCCGCTGTGGAGAGATGGGGCCAGTTAGGGAAGGTGCCACCTCATCAGAAACAGGCGTGATAACAAGGGATAACCTGTTAATTACTGTTAGTGCTAGAATATGTGTTTATAGTAGGGGGGGGGGGATAGAAGAGGAGCCTGTCATGATTTAAATCAACTTCATGCATACATTATGGCCCCCAGGCTGTGGAGGGGAGGGTTTACAGTCATGTTCATTTGTCTGATTTCTTTTGAAAATTCAGATACATGGAATAAGAAAATGGATGGATGGATGGATATAATTTAGGCTTTTAAAGTTTTTTTGATTCGCTTTGATTTTTACTAAAATAATTTCTCTCATGATTGTACATCGCTGCATTCTTGACGACGCTCCAAAAGTTACCAAGTCCCCCCCCCCCCGCCCACCCAGATTCTGCCTGCCCCAAACAAAGCGTGGTCAAAGGAAACGTTCCCGTGGTCACCGTTACTACCATCTCCCCAGATCTGAATTATTCTTGAATATTCCCACCCCTCCACCAACCAGGTAACCCCCCCTCCCCCTAGGCATAGTATGGTACTTCCTAGAAACACCTGCAGACCGCACAATAAGCATAGCGCCTCCTACAGGCCAACCACTGACAACAGCACTAGACTTACAGGCCCCAAGCACCAAGAGCGTTCCTGCAGCCCCCCCCCACCTCGCCAAGAGCAGCTTACAGGGGTTCAGGAGCCAGCTGGCATACGCTCCAGCAGCTCGACGTCACTATTATTTTTACACTTGGCAGGATGAGTCTTCCAAATCCCAGCCAGAAGAGCTTCCTGCACAATTAAAATTTCATAATTGAAAATGCCCATTACAGGGCAAGAGCATTGGCAGTGAATTACAGGGAGTTTCCTGGAAATAATGAGAGCGCCATGGGGACTACTTTCAAAAGTAGCCCCAGAGGACGAGTAGGCCAGCAGATAAATAAAAGCCTGAATTGAAGGGGGAAAAAACCCTTCAGAGGGGAGGACCTTGGAAAGGGAGCAGCAGAACGAGCCTCTATGAAAGCTGAACAGGGCAGGACGTCGTCTGTCTGGGGTCACCAGCACCAGATCAGAGCAGATACGCTGATAGCGGGTCAGGGGTCAAAGGGCATCTGCACAGATAAATGTGACAGTCCTGCACATAAACAAACTAGGAGTGGGGGTCTTGGAACTGGGTGGTGCATACACCCTCCAATATTTAATTCAGGTTCATTCATCTTCCCCAATAAACAGACCTTTGTTTTTAAATTATGAAGTTGCACCCCCACCCAAAACACCAAGCTCTCCTACGCTGTTGCCCACAAGCCATCTACTATAAGTTTAAGTATTTTTAAAGAGTAAATGACTGTCAACAATGGACTGTGAGGATTCTGAGGAGGAGAAGGGCGATTTTAGGATTTTATTAAAGTGCGGGTCACAAGAGGGGCCAACCTTATAATATGGATTTGAATCTATGAGTGACAGAACAGGGCACTCGGGGGACCAATCAGCTTTCAGCTAGGGGCAGTGACCCTGGGGTCACTCCACTATGCATAAGACATTTTACTCAGGGTACTATGACATGGTGCGGGGGAGGGGATGGGTTGGGGCCACTATAAGGTCAGGGCCGTGCGTTTTAACAAGCACTGACAATTTCTAAGTGCCCCCCCTCCCCACTACCTCCTCCCCCAAGGCCCAACATGGCCAACACAGACAGCCCAACACTCAGCAAAAATCTGAACAGGCTGCAGAACTTCACTCTGCAGTGAAGAGTGCTACTCCACGCGGTCGAAGCGCCACTCCATGCAAGAGGAGGGAAGGCAAGGCCAGGCTCTGGAATCAAAACGAGATAACGGAAGCAATTAGGAGGCTCTTCGATCCGCACGTGAGCCCGGTAGTCAAACAGCCCCCTTCCTACAGAGGGCCAGGGAGGATGCGTTAACTACAGGAACGGAACATTCAAGGAAGGAGACGAGAATGACAGATTCATGGGTTGGGCCAAACCAGCCTAAAGGACAAACCAAACACTGCATCTTCTAAATGGACACAACCCACCACAGTTTTGGCTCGTATTCAACACATCAGCATCCAACTGGATCGCTTTGGGGCCACATCTCCCTGATTTTCATCTTCCACGCTCAAAGCCAGCACTTCAAACACATCATTCCCAGTCTCTCGAGTGGCCGATGATGACCCAACTCCATTATCTCCACCCACCAGGGAACTGAGAGTGAGGAGCTTAGATGAGAATTTTAAACAGGCCAAAAAGCCAGGCCCTGGAGATGGGGGGGTGGTGGGCTGGGGGGGTGAGCTAAACCCTATAGCCAATTACAATTACAATAGCCACTTAAACCAGGCTGTGACACAATGTTGCTCCCTCCCTACTTCCTGTTCTTGTTCTGCCTCATCCCACTTCCTGTCTGAGTCCCCCCCCCACCTTCCTGGTCCCAGCATGGTGGGCAAGCATCACTGCGATTAACCCCTTTCCTTGTGTGGCGCCCATCAGCACGATAGCAGAGGTTAAGGGACAGAGTTTGAGCAGAGCCGAAACGGAAGGGGTTTGCTGAAGCTCCACTTGAACCAACGTCCTGCTGACCTCAAATGCTAAACTGGTAAGTCACAGCGCGAGCGATACTCAGTTACCAGGCATTACACATGAAGGGCAGAGTACTGAGGGCGCCGTTAAACTGCGGGACACAAAGTGCTGAGGAGGGAAGCCAACGTTTATAGGTCAGCCTGAGGGATCGATCCCATGCAGGCACAAAATCAGCCTCTTAACTTGAATTACAGGAGCTTTTCTTCTTTTTTTAAATGGCTGAACCGAGCGTGAAGATTGCAGTCATTTCCTGTGTGTGTGGTCTGCTATTCGGAGGCACGCGACCAGCATGGCGTGAATCCCACTTTAGCCCTGGTGCCCAGATGGAGAACTGCCTTGTTCCACAGCCCCACCGCCCTGTGGTCAGATCTGCCATGACCCTGCAATCCCAGTCCAAGCGCTGGGCACGTGGCAGAGCCCAAAAGAACCAGAGATACAATGGACCCAATGAACAGTCACTTCTCTCACACACACACACACACACACACACACACACACACACACACACACACACACACACACACCATAATGACACTGACATGACAGTGGTGTCACCCAAACACAGGCTGAGGGACCTTACGAGTCCTGCCTATGTAAACCTTGCCGATTCACCCCCCCAAACTAATAGTTCATTGCATCAAGCTGCCACACACACACACACACACACACACACACACACACACAAGACGTCATCATAAATCAGAACCCTCCGCGTTGCTTGGCAGCCGAGCCCAAACATTCCAAATGGTTGGTCGCCGTGCCAACAAAACCCACTCCCATTGCCTTCCGTCCCCTGCAGCCCTGTCTGGCTCCAGAAACCGGATCGCAGCCCGTTTTACAACCTTAAGCAAAAGGCCACCAGCACACCCACTGACTGCAAGACATAAAACCGGCACACGGCCTGACGCGAGTCGGCACCTTTGCCACAGTCCTGCAAAAACAAAGCCAACGAAGAGGGGGGAACAAAAGAGAAGGGCCGTGGCAGTCATGATCACCACAGTCTGCATGTTAAAGCAAAAACACCAGGGTCCAAAACCCCCCCACCATGGTCAGCTGAACTGAAGCTATACTGACGGAATGCATGGAAGGCCTAGAATAAACCAGACCCCCTCCCTAAAATTAAACTAGGTTGTGAACTCAAGGAGTGGGAGGGGGGCATTTCATTCATATCTATGGAGGGAGGGGTCTGTTCCCAGAATGCACCAAATTTATTCCATCTGCAATGAGCTGCAATTTGCTGCTATCACCTCTGTCTCACATGCATCCATCCATCCATCCATCCATCCATCCATCCTCCTACCTCTAATCTTGGTCAGTTTCATGGGGACTCAGTCCTTATCCATTTTTATCTAAATCTACTAGCATGTTTAGGAAAACATTGGGGCCCAGGTAAGACCCAGGGCTCCATGATGGCTGTGCTGTAGGTCAACAAGGTCCAAACCCCCCTCCCCCAAAATCAGATTAATATGCAGAACACCCCTCCCCCCAGAAGCAGCAGAAAGGAGGAACCCCCCCCCCCCCATCATTCCCTGGGTCCCACCATAGGCTTACAGACCAGCCATGATTTCGTCCCCCACTGGCCCGTCGTGAAGAGCTCAGAAGAAGCTCCGTGACAGATGATACAGTGCTAGCTTGAGTGTAACTAAAAGATGACATAAGACCTCTTAAAGTGCAATTCAGTAGTTTGTTTCCTCACGCATAGACCATTTGTAGGCGGATTCGGCCCAGAACCAAGCCCGTCCCGGGAATCTGAACACCTTGTAATGGCAGAGAGCCGAAGCAGCATAAGGTGTAGAAATCAGACGGCCTGGGCAGCACTGGTGTGAAGAGGAGCTCCGCGCGGAGGTGCCGAAAATGACGGCGGACACCGAAGGTGACAGACCGCCAAGTGGACAGAAGGGGGCTGAGCCAGTTGCAGCTTTAAAAACCTCCTTTCCTGAGCCAGCACCTTTGCTGATTCTGCTTGTCATGTTAACTCAACAGTCTAGATTTTAATGGTATCAGAGGTAACCTAGAAAACACACACACACACACACACACACACACACACGTTCATTCCGATGGGCATCACCCTAATCCTAACGATGACAACCTTAACCATACCCGGCCCTAACCTTTACCATAGGTAACCAATCAAAATGCAAGACTTTTGGTATTCATAGTTTGAGTGCAGTCACAGATTTTTTATAAAATTGAGGTTATCCTTGCAGGGACCGAAAATATGTCCCCACAAGGTCAAAGTAACAGGTTTGTATCACATTGTAGAGAAATCTGGTCCCCACAATGTATTAATCTCCCTCTCACACACACACACACACACACACACACACACACACACATACACACACACATACGTGCCAGAATCCTTAACTGGTTCCAGACAGGACGTACGAGCGATGAAAACAATCCCCCCCCAAAAGAAC